CCCTGTTTCATTTATTTTATCACTTCATTGATTTCTTTTTCTTTGCTCTTAAGTTTCGTCCTCTGGTACCTAGAAGGCAAACTGAAACAAGACATATTCCTTCCACACAAATGCTGGGACTTTGGAAAACCGCTTAACTCTGATAGATTAAATGCTTACTGATGCTGCTGCCCTTTCTATAAAGAGATCAAAGCATATAGAAGAGAAATGAACAGCTCTGCATTTTGATCAGTATCATGCTGCCCATTCAAAGATGAACTGGTACCACCATGAAGCTACCATTAAAAAATATCTAAGAGTAGAGGGGTCAGAATGATGCCAATATGTCCAACATTTGTGATAGAGATGAGAAGGCTGTGAGAATTATTCTGTGGTTAGGAATAATTAAACAGAAACAAACCCCTGGGAGCATGCTTTCCTTGGACTTATTAAAGCATTAGTGTGGAGTTTCTGCATATTTTACTCTTAAATCATCACATTGAGTAACAGTGGAAGAACTATTTTAAAACCACTGCATAGATGCATCATAAACCTGGGAGAGATCTTGGCAGTTCACCACTCATTTCCAGCTTTTGGAGGACTAACTTAGGTTACCTTGGAAAGGATCTTGTTTACTCTACTCATTTTATTCATTCAAACATTTCCAGAGAACATGACTTCATTTTCTTATTCATTTACCATGCAGTTTAGAATCCTTTGTGGCTTTATGTATGTAGTTTATAACATAATTTTATAAAGTCTGTAGTTAATTAATGTATGCAAGTTGCCTCTGATGTCTCTGCCTTTAATAATGCAAGTTCACTTGCTGAGTAAGAAAACTAGAATGACATAAGATAATAAGAAAGAAACACCCAAAGAACTGAAAGTGTAAAATTGAAGGACTCGGAGTTCAGATGTTATATGTCTGTACACAAATGACAACAAACAACTGATAAGACTATTTATTGTGCTGATGAACACTGGACTTTTGTCAGGTGTTGTTACAGCAAATCTCAATCAAGAAAAAGTTATATTTATCATATTTGGCAGATATTTGCTTACTAAAGGAAAACATAGTTGTTCCAAATTAGTGTTTTTCATCATCGTATCAAGGTACATAACTATAACATTTACTTTTGATCCCATTTCAATTTTTCATGATACTTGCCCCCTAACTACATAGCCCTACTCCATAAGAATTTTTAATATCTGCCTGTGGTTTATGCTTTTTACCTCAGGGAATCCAACTCTTTTTCTTGAGTATTTTATAATGCTACCTCTTTAATTCTCAATAACCCTAAATTCTCCATGTAGTAAAATTAGGATTCAAAACAAATTCTCCATTGTAGAATATTACTTTTTACATATTTTTCTTTTAAAAATACTTTTCTTTTCCACTGCCTTTCCTTCTAGTTTTGTCTCTCTCTCTTTAACTTTCAAATTTCCAATGTGACCCATTTGTTCTTTGGCTCGAATTTCCTTGACACCTGCTCACTCCTGCAGATTGCCCTCCACCACTCTCTTTAAGCTGCCTTCTCCAAGGTTTCCAAAGGCCTACTGACTGCCAAAATCCTTGCCTTTTTCATGTTTCCTCCATGTTTCCACATAACTTGATGTTAGAGGAAGCAGAGAAGGTAACAAAAAAGGGATCTCATCAGCCAGTGGCATGTTGGTACATGTTTAACAACCAGCTCTTCAATAGTTGCTTTTGCCAAATTCCATGGTGTAAATATTCCCAACAAGGATGCTTTAAATGCCCCCAAATGATGTCACTGAATGAGGAGCTGGGAGGCTGTGTGAACAACACCCTCCGGGGGGCCCTTGTGAAGTGGCTCCAGCAAACCCCTGCAGATCTTGTTTGGAATGCTAGTCGGCCTTGGCTTTTGCAATACGAAGCACCTGGTTTCATTTTCTATCACCCTGACTCCAGTGTCCCTCCATGTCTTTATTGCTTTTATTTCTTACGTGGGCCCTAACTGCTGACCTAGTTGAGGGTTAAATTTTTTTTATGTCTTCATCCTTTTCCTTGGCATTTTCTTCTACTCACAAGTTTTTCATCATTACTTTATTTATTGTAAATGATGCTAAACTCTTGCATGCTCCCCATTCAATTTCATATCAGATAGCCCCTCCCTTACCTCACACTCATAGAGCTAAAACCAGACTTCTAATCTTGCCCTCCAGTACTCATTTCCGACTATATGCCAGACACATCATGAGGTGCCTTGGACATATGACTTGGAAGTTAGTACCCATATTTTATAGAATAAAAAATCCAAAGTTAAGATAGTTTGATTAACTTACCCAAATTGACCCATTCAATAGGCAAGAGAATGCCGATGTGAAGCCATGTTTTGGTACTTTGATACCAAAACCCATCTTTCTTTCTATTACCCCACAGTGCTTCTAGCTAGTGGTACTATTCTTTTTATTTACACTGAGTTAAAATATGTGAGTAAGTTTTACATTTTCTCCACTATTACTATTACCAAGTCCTGTGTATTCATACACTGGGCTATTTGTGCAAATTTATCTCCCTTGTATGTTATAAACTAAAATTAAGAGCCACATTCTAGTGATAATTTTATCTTTTATGTGATGAAATTCCTTATAGTTGTAGGTACCCAATAGTTTTTGGTTTAATAAGTGAAATAATTATTTAATGAACAATAACATATTTCAAATACTTTTATTACATTTGTGCTACAATCATGCTTGTCTGTCACCTGTGTTGTGATATACAGAAAACCAAATTTTGCACTAAAGAAATATCCAGGAGAAAAATAGGACATGGAAGATGCTCACAGTTTCCTACAAATCATGATGGTTACCATTATCCTAGTATTTTCGGCCCATTGCTATAGTATCCATTTCTAGGCAGCTTATGGTTTAGACTCTAGGGAATGAGTTTACAGCTATATCCCTCATTGCATTTCAGAGTCATTGAGGTCTCCTGGGAAGTCTTTTTACACTTTCAGAAGTCTTAACTAGGGTCCAGGACTCAGCAATCTATCCAGATTTCTCTAAATTACAAGAGCTGGCCACACTGTTCTGAGTACCAATTGCCAAACGTGAGAGGGTTATCTTGCCCTCTGCTTAAGTAAGTGGATGTATCACTGGCCTTCTGAATTTGAAGTTTCCAACTCCTGCATCACTTGGTGTATTTCCTACTCCCATCGGCACTGAGGAGCTGCTTCATGATTACGTGTACCCCGGGCTTTTCTATACACAGTAATCATGTGCCATAGCAAGCTACCTGATGCAGCGCTTTTCTACCTGAGAAGTCAGTGGGGCTGTTTGCATTGTTTCTGACTAGGGAGTGACTATGACTTTATAGTGAACAAGCCAAAAAGACCTGTTTGTAATTCTTAAGAGAATTCCGTTTTCTGTGATACTATGCTATCACCTTGGTATGAAATGCCCTCAGTTGCTGTTTATCGTACAATATCCTCAAATACATCTTTTGTCAGGCTTGATCACTAAAGGACTTAGATTAAAATTTTAGATGCCTTTGCCTGTAAACACCATTCTGTTAAACAATACATGGCAAATTGAAAAATAATATACCCATTAGCTGAGCATCAGGGACAACTAAGTGAATGCAACATAGAATACCTGTTCTCAAAGCTTTTATATAGGGCTTTCAACTAAAGAATAATCTACTTTCTTGGTGCTTCTTTGTATCTGAGGAGTAACAAGCAAGATTGAGTCGGGCAAAAAGGCTCTATTAATACGTCCAATCCATTTCCTGCTACTGACCTATTAGTGGTGACCTGAACTTTTAGGAGGTTTCATTTCAATGAGTACTCAGAAAAATAGAAAAATAAATGAAAGAAGACCTCATTCACATTCTATCAGAGTGGTAGGTTGGTGAGGGTGAAACTCAGAGAATACGAAAATTTGAGATGACTTCTGTTGTTCTATCAAGACCGCACTGATATGCTATAATTTGGATAATTGCCTTCTCTTCTCTCCCTTGCTGAATGAAACTTTGTCAGAGAGGTACAAAGATACAGGTGTACATGATCCCCAAGGAAGGCCATTTTGGACAAATAACACCAAATTATCTTTTGAGCTAGCCTTTTATGTAGATTGAATTGAAACATAATGATACTCTTTATTCAGGTCTTTCATTCTTTTAACTTAAACTGTAGCATATATTGGGGATATCAGGAGAGAGTGAAAAATTATAAAATTATATCCCAGTGCCCTACTTCATCTGATATTACTGTTAATGGAAGTCCTATTTTAAGAAGGCAGCTCTGCATAACATTTAGCTCAGTCCGTGTTCCTGCATTCTGCAAGTGATAAAATTACACATGAATTAGTTTAGTGAGCCCAAGTAGCAAGTAATAAAGTTTATATTCCAAATATTCCAATTATAACTTCATGGTTCCTTTTGTTGTTTTCCTAGAGAAAATTCATTTTAAGCTGTGTGTGTATTATATAATTTGTCATATTTGGTTGGCCTTTGTCTCTATTCTCTCCCAGCCTGGTTGCCTTGGTTACCATCACATACACTCTTGTACATGAAAATCCTCTTTGACGTACATTTATTTCTATGGAAACAATGGCTTCATTGGTATGGGTGGGTGCTTAGGGATAGCATAATGAAAGGTTGCATATTGATCTTATGGTCATAAAATGTATCACTGAATTACTTTTTTAATTAGAGGACTATATTTTTGCTTTCCCTTTGACTTATGAAGCTACATTTTTCTTTGTTTTTGGACTTGCTTGAATAAAATGACTAACGTGTTAAACATTCTGTACATCCCATTATGATACGTGGTATCTTAAAGCTCAACACAGATATGTGTAACAATAATAGTATTATTACTTTAACATTAAAAGTCTCTCAATGCATTATTAAAATGTTTTCTATCATATTAAATAAGTCCATGTATAATTAATATTTCTCATTTTTTTATGTCTTAAGAGGCTTTTAAACCTTTCTAAGCATCTATTTTTCTCTCTGCTCTACTTTCACACTACTCCAGTTTAATTTTTTGTCCTTACAGATGATGTGGAAGCCAGCCTACGATTTTCTCTACGCTTGGGGAGCTCACTGTGGAAACAGCTGCAGAGATGTGTTACAAGACCTTCAATCCGCCTTGGACAGAATGAAAAACCCTGTGACCAAACAATGGCGAGACTTAACTGGAGCTTTAATACTAGTACATTCTTTAGAGCTTTTAAGAGCAACTGCATTCTCCACTTCTGAGGAAGTATAGAAATGAAGGGTACGTTTTTTTGGAGGCAGGACAATGGTAGAGGGAGATATGTGTGTGTGTATGCGCAAAAGAGAAAGTGCTCAAACGGTACTTATTTTTTATTTATGTTTGAAAAAAGATTTTCCATGTGAAAGCACAGCAGAACCCAAAACTCAGGAGTGGGTTTTATAATCAAACATGTATTTTTGTTTCTATTTCAGATGCAAACATCAGGCCACTTCATTGTTGGGAAAGGAAAGAAAAACCCTCTCTTCTTTCAAGTTACTTTTAATTTAAGTGACAACAAATGGTCATTAGCATAATTACTTCATGCAGATACCCAGATAAACTAGAAGCTCTCAATGTGAACAATGAAGTTTTACCAGGAGGCAGGTGGGGACAGAGGAGAAGCAAACACAGGCTTTGTGGACCGGCCCAGGGCTGCAGGCTTCCTGCCTCCAGTCTCATCTCTCTCTGTGGGGTGTGCTGACATTATTCCCATTTTCCATGATAGTGAGTGTGAAGTAGGTTTTTTCTCTGCAAAACCTGGTTTTATTTTTTTTTTAATCCAGAGTGCATAGTAAAATAGTAAAAAAAAAAATGAATATTAAAACTTAATTGAAGCTCACTGCTCTTGTCCACCATCTCTTGAAAGACAGCCAAATGGAATATGTGACTTATCAGAAATCCGTTGCTACAAATATGAACTGGAGTTTTCACCACATTCCTCTGCCTTCCCCTAGCTGACCCCGGGGCTTTCTTCAGGACCGTAATTTAGAATAATAGTTCATCAACTGTCAAGGATTTTTCATACTAAGGGTTACTTAAAACAATAAATTGGCCTTATCACTGTTGAATATCATAGTCTTAACCAGCAAAAACACTGATATCTGTGTGTGTGGATGCGCACATGCTCACACAAATGTGGGTGTGTGCCAGAGCGTTTGTTTCATAGCAATTTTGGAAGACAAAGATGAGATAGGAATTTGGGCCAGGATAAAGGCTAACTCCTGGCAGAGAGTTCACAAAGGTATGGTTCGTGCTTATGCATATGTCAGTCCTCTGGCCACCTGCCAGCATTCATGTGCTTTGGCCAGTCATTCATTTATTGTCATTTAGTCGATGGAGGGAATGAGTGCTCCTACCTGTGGCAGGCACCGAGATGCTTGAGGTCAGTAATGGGAAAATAAAACCAGCACGATCTCCGACTCCAGTAATGCTAAGTGGTGGATGTAGACAATAATAAACACTTATACAGTTAAAATAAATGGTATCTGTGATAACAGCTACAGTGGAGCGGCTGGGATGCCAAGAGATGTGGAGATGCGGCCACTTTCTGAATCAGAGGCATCAAGTCAGTTTTCCCTGGGAAAGAAATGATGAGCCTGAAGGAGGATCAGGCTTTGCTTCCAGTCTGGAGGTGGTGGGAGACAGCTCCTCAGTGCACTGAAGCCCTCAGGCAGGCGTCAGGCGTGCAGAGAGCTGGGTGGGGCAAAGGGCCTGAAAGGGTGGAGGAAGGAAGGACACACCTTCAGAGGTATTGTGGACAAGCTGAGTAAGGATTTTGTTCTGGGATCCTGAATAAAACATGCCCATTTGGCTGAAAAGTAAAAAGCAGAATCTTTTTAGAGTTTTTAATACATCCACCCTAGGGTATTTGGTATGATGGCAAAAGAAACCTGATTGAGGGTTTAAGAACTATCTTCATGGCTTTCAATATTTATATGTGATGATAAGAGAACAAAGCCTTCCCAAGGAGTTATAGACACACATTCAAGGACAAAATTTATTTCAGTTCAAAATAAATTCTAGGAGAGAGAAATAAAGAAATGACTTGAAGTTTAGGACACAAGTATTTTCATAGTATTTTGCTTTCTTTAGAACATTCTTGGAATCTTATTAACATGTCAGCAAACCAGAGAATTTGGGGAAGGGATGGTAAGGAATTAATAACTGGGTTTCCCCAGGCACCAAGATCTGAGAAGACAGAGATCTCGTTTGCTGATTAGGGTAGTAAGATTAAACAAATCACTTCAGGTTTACATTGTATCATGTGTTGTGAGTGTGGCTGGGAAGTTTAAAAAGAGTTTAAAAATGAAAAACGTGATCTTTGCAATGTAAGAATGAAGCAATGGTTTAAGTAATAATGCACACAAAGATATTTTATAATCTTGTAATAAATCATTTTAGACAAATTTTAAACCCATGACCAAACATTCTCTTCTTATATATTCTAGTATTTTATAAATCATTTCTAGTTTTCTGAATTTTATAGTTTTCTTTTCATAATGGATTTTCATAATCAGAGAAGATTAAGTCAGTAATCACGAATTGCCTTTTATTTTTGGCAGCAAATCAAGGGAATTAATAAGGCACTTAAATCCCATCCTTGACATCATTAAAAGCATCAAAAATGATTAATCTAAAACTTCTTTAAGCATTTTGGAAGTGAAAAAGCATAGAGAATTCTTTCATTTCCTCAGGCTTTTTCGCTAACCATGCCTTAGGATGGGATTTCACTTCGGCGTTCTGTGTTCAGCTTGCAGCGCGCACAGCTTTCCTGTGGGAGCCTCAATCCCCCACTTCCTTCCGTTCAAGTCTTCGTAGGAGGGCCAGTGAAGGAGGTGCACGCCGTGATGGGTACCAGGAATGGATGCAGCACATGGCATGGCCAGCGATGCGTAAAATAGCAGAGGAAGTTTTAAACTTGGGGATGACTAGTTCTTCGGAAGGAGAAGAATGCACTGCATTAATGGATGGTGTTGGTCTAAGAAATATCGTGGCTAGTAAACAACTTTGAATATGTGATATGCAAATACGAGAGAGAAAATACACTAGAAATCATGCAATACTGCAATTGGAAATTTCAAAATTTGAGTTTTCATACTGTAATTTTATTTACAGAAAATATACTGTAAATTATATTTTCTGTAATTTTTGTAATACCTAAGGAATATTTGAAGCAATTCAAAAGAAAAAGGGAATAATGAAAAATTATGCTGCTGGAGGCTTTTCTAACTGAAATAGATCTTTTTTTCTTCTTAAGCATAGAAGTTCTTCCCTGTTTTTCTGCCATTTCTCCCCAGTGCTTCCCCTGTGAGTGACCATCCGGAAGTCATATGTTGCCATTGTACTGGGTGGGGTTAATCCAAAGACATTTTTAAGAATAAAATAATCACCTGGAGAGTGTGTTGGAACTCAGACTGCTGGGACCCACCCCAGGATTTCTGACTCAGCAGGACCTCGAGCGGGGCCTGAGCATTTGCATTTCTGAAAAAGTTCCCAGGTGATGCAGATGCCGCTGGTCCAGGGACCCCAACTAGAGAACCACTGCATTAATTTCCGTCATTCCCATGGCAATAAAAGAATCTCCCATAAACTACAAAAGGTAACTTTTAGATAAATAAAATTCTGTCATTTCATCAGAGAAATCATTTTTAAATTACAAAAAAAAAACCCAAACCCAAATTACATTTATTTATATAAAAGGAACTTTTCCAAAATGAGCCTGAAAATATAATTTTAATTATAAAACTAGTTAAAATAATTAAGATCTGCATCTCATTCCAAGTGTAATGATGTTTGAATGAAAATAGATGCAGAATTTGACACATCCACGCAATGTGTTGAGATTTTGCAAGTGTATGCAATGATGCTCTTTTCACTCTAAAGCTAGAATCTTTGGTGAAAGTCTTGTTTTTATTGATTTGTCACTTGTTAAACGTTTTGTTGAATTAATTTTTCCACACTGAAAAATATGTTTATAACCCATATGATCAGTTAAACCATCTGTATGCCTTACTTTCCTCATAGAATTACGCAGTGATTACAGGTACTCGTTGAAGAGGTAGCCAGGTGTTCTCCCTTCAGTGAACAGTTCTGCATTTAAAGGGATGGTGACTCTGAGGAGACGTGATCAGCAGAATGACCTCACTTTGACATTAATGTGTCACATCTCACTTTCTGCTGTAGTTCTCCTTTTAGTTTTTCCTCTGTGGGTGAGTAGGAGGATCTGTGACTTCTTTCTTTCTGGTCTTAGAGATATGTGAGACTGTGCTTTTGTTCCCAAAAGCAGATTTTTAACTGTTCCTAATACTTAAGTCCACACTTGCACTTTTGGAATATACTGAGACATTTATAATCATATATATATATATATATATATATATATGTGTGTGTGTGTGTGTGTGTGCGTGTGTGTGTGTGGGTATATGGCTAAGTTGAAAAATCAAAACTTAGTCATGATGAAGCTACTGGTTTCACTTAAACTGATTCTACCTAAGTCAGTCTTATAAAAGCATTTGGGATTGGCAAGTTTGGTGTAATGTTGAGCTTACACGTGTTAGGTTTAATGGTAATACAATTAGCTACTACACTCCTTGGCATAGTAGGCAAACCCATTCTGTGGGATTTGACTAAATCCCACTGAGTAAATATGTACTCAGTGCTCACAGAGTCCCCTTACAAAGGGTAGCGTGAGGGAGGACACAGGGAAGAATCTGATGTGGTCTAATGACAGAAGACTATTCAGGGACAATGGGAACATTGTCTTCTCCTCCTTGTGCCGGTCTTCTTCAAAATGGAACGTGTATTTAATTCTTTCTCCTTATTTAATCAATAATAAGATATAAATTAACCATTGCTTTGTTTTCCCCAGGCTTGATTTAATGCAATTTAAGGCTGCTCTTTAGGACTCCTGAGAAACTTCAGCTACAGCAAACTCGCAACCCTGAGTCGAACTGTCCTTTGGCAGTCTTCAGGAGCTGGTGTTGGAAAACCAGTTTCAAACTGGCTTAAGCACAAAGAATTTAGTGTCCCTCACAACTGAAAACTCCAGGGATACTTTCAGGCATTCCAGGATTCAGGCCTTGAAGGTGTGATCAAATTGCTTGTGTTTCTTTTCCTCTTCCGTTCTCTTCCTTGGGCTCCGCAAAGCCGCCCCGCTGCCTATGCTCTCCCTTCCTGGGGGCAACGCGACTGCGGCGGCTCCGCCTCATATTCGCTGGTGTTCCACTTTCAGGTCGGCAGGTTGATAACGTGTTAACTTGGCCAAACTGAACTACGTTTCCCAGAGTTCTCTCTTTTTAAAAAAATTTTATTTAGTTATTTTTCAAGTACAGTTTTTTGTCTATTTCTCCCATCCCAGCCTCCCCCGCCCCATGCTCCCCACCTCCCTCCCATTTCCACCCCCCTTAGTTCTCATCCCTGTGTCCTTTCTATTTGTTCCTCCAAATCCCTCCCCCTTTTTCCCCTTAACTTCCCTTCCTTCTCCCCTCTGGTCACTATCCCCTTGTTCTCTATTTATACAGTGTCTTTGTTTTTTTTTTTTTCTGCTTGCTTGTTTGTTTTGTTGTTTAACTTCCTGTTAAAGGTGAGATCATATGGTATTTGTCTTTCAGCACCTGGCTTATTTCACTCAGCATAATGCTTCCCAGAGTTCTCTTTACTAAATATTTCTGGTTAGGGCTGGTCCCAAGAGAGATCTATCTCTTCCCAAGAGAGGGGAAAATTTGGACGGTCCCATGGGAGCAGTGGCCGTTGGGACTTTCAGAAGGTAGATGTAGGTCGGGCCCCGACACCGCCTCTGACTCAGCTAGTTAGTGGAGGAGGCAGCGGCTGGCCTGCAGCGCAGTCTCCCTTCGGCCCACCTTTCCCTTCCGAAATCGCGGCCTGGTGAGCACGTGGGTCTGCAGCGAGAGCGCCAGTTCTCCTGAGGGCTCTCCACAGCAGCGGGGCTGCAGGCTTGGAGCCAGGGAGGGACCAACGGGGACACCAGTGACAAACCGATGCAGAGTCTAGTTGCCCCTGCTCTCCCTCAGGTCATGTCCACCTTTTCTGTCACTCAGCCTGACCTATG